TTTGTTGATATCAGTCAACGGCTGGCGAATGAGTTGAGCCAATAATCTCTGTCCGGAAAGTGTGCGACAATTGTTGAGCACTTGAAACAGAGTCCTATTGGCTCTCATAGACATGGAATCGTTGAGCAAATTGGGAAATAAGTCCAACGAATGGACAGCCGTTGCGTCCAATTTGACGAACTCTTTGACATCGATTTCTTTGAGTTCAAAACTTTCATAACTCGAGTCATCGCCCAAAAGGTTGAGATAATCAAAGACTCCAGAAATGGCTTCTCTTGAGAGCGACTTCTTCTCTAACATTGCTTTCGAGAGAAATATCAAAACTAAACAAAAGACAAATCAAAACCACGAATAGCTTACAATTAATAGCGATTTCCTTATTATCTCTTTTAACTAAGACTTTCTCCAAATCTGATTCCAGATTCGAGGCATTCATACAATTCCTCTTAACTGAAGTGACAAGAATCCTATTGTTATCCAATATTGTAGACAACTTCTTGGAAGTGGACTCTTGTTTATCATGAGTGCAAATGAGACACTCTTTAGGACTGATTTGCACCAAAAGACTCTCCAAATGAGACAAATACTCGTTGTCTTCAAACTCGCAAAAAGAGATCTCATTAACGGTGGTATCGATGAAAGCGACGCCAATCTTGAGATCATTAGACCACTGAATGGCACAAACACCTCGACTATCAATCGAGGCGTTCGTCGAGTAGATAATGTCTTCGAGAGGACCCAGACATCCGGGACTGGCCTTCAGGTCCAACTGCCAGTCGTTTGAGGACTTCTTTTTGACGCATTTCTTGTATACCTCTAAGCGCTCTTTGTTTTCAATGAGAATATGTCTCAGCAGTGGTTCATATCTGGCCTGAGATATGGCAATGGAAGGGAGCTTCTGGTTATCGCTTCCGATGTATTTGATGGCAGAAGTGGTGCACAGAAACGATTTGGCGATCACTTCGGCGTTCAGGCCGTGGAGTGTGTAATAGTCTCCCCTATCAAACAGCCGGTGCGTCTTCGGTGGACACGAACCCAGCGATCGATAATACGCCAGAAATGTGGGCTCTTGTGGTATGTCTTCACGCGATGGCAAATCAATCACAAAATTAGTGCCCGTTTTGTAAACAAGGTGTCAATGAATCAAATAAACAGACGTTTCAATACAAACCCAATTGATTCTCTTCGGCCATATGTGATGAGTGTTGTGTGCAGTGGTATATGTCTTGAGATGTGATTAGTGGTGACAATTAGTGGTGAACTGCTCGACAAACCCCTAAACAATGGTTTGAGTGATGATTGCCTGCAAAGAGCGCCAAACCATGTGTTTCGATGACATGTGAGTCATGTGTCATATGTTCACACATTCTCTGCATTGCATTCAATGGCACTCTCTTTGCTCTCACTATCGCTCCAAACGTGAAAACTTTTGGAAACTTTTTTTCAGTTCAAGAATTAGTTTTGAAGTGAAGTTTAGCTTATATTTTCTGATTTGTATTTGATTTAAACGAGATTTGAATTAATTTTTACTCATATATCACATCATTTATAAACACTGTATCATAAATGGTTTTAAAACATGTAAATACTTCAAAGTTAGTGATTATTAGTAATAAGTATTTTATACATAAATGAAATAAGAAAACAAATAATTAGTTCAAAAAGTTTATTGAATTTAGATTTGAAGTGAAAAGTAAAAAATTTTGAGTGAAATATGAATTGAAACCAAATTCTGTGACAAATTTGTGTCACGTATTCGTCAGTCAATGACAGAGAAGTGGTCTTCAGAGTGAATGTCTGAATAGTGTAGACATCGGGCGCTGGCATTGACTGCAAACACGAGCCAACCCTCGGATCCGTCGATGTGTCCAAGTGTTGAGGACTCCATTTCCCCTCATATTAGCTGATTATGTGTGCACTCAAGTCTGAATAGTGTAGACATCGGGCGCTGGCATTGACTGCAAACACGAGCCAACCCTCGGATCCGTCGATGTGTCCAAGTGTTGAGGACTCCATTTCCCCTCATATTAGCTGATTATGTGTGCACTCAGTCCTCGTCGCCGTATAATCTCTTCATATCTGCAAGACTTTGGCTAAACTCGCTTTGAATTGTCTGAAGTTGTGATGCACTCATCGGAACACACATTACCTCGTCTTGAGTCTCGTCTTGAGGGTGTGGTCTGAAGATAATGAGACAATCGTTGTCTTCCTCTGCGTCCGTCTTCGCCCAGACCCCCATCTCGACCCGGCGGTTGTCTATCGCTAAGAGTCGATCCATTCGTACGACTCTTTCGGAGAATACTTGGAGACGGGATCTAATTATGAGTTCCCAGAAGTCCACGAGATTTTGTTTAGTTGTTGCCCTCAACTCACCAATGAGTCGATCAATGGATTCGCTAAACGATTCCCATTTGGATTCGGGAGGCATTTGTTTATGTGTTGGGAACCACTGGTCAGTGATTAGAGACGACAGCGAACACCGATCTGAAGGGTTGGCCGCTAAGAGACGTCTCAGCAGTTGATTGACGACTGTTTGGTCGACAGACCGACGGAAGCGCTCGGGAAATGGCTTTTCGTAGATATCCTCCGACTCTTCGGTCAACAATTGTCTCCTCCTTTCGATCGACTCTTTGTTCTGCGAGTCTTTGAAAGCAGGAAACGGCGGCTGAAGATAGAGACACGAGTAGAGTATGAGTCCTACGGCCCATATGTCACACTTCTGGGTGTCGACCACTACTGGGTTGTCGTACAGAGTGTCGGGTGAACTGTAATCAGGCGTTCCGTACCTCTCATACCCTTTAATGGGTTTACCAGAAGTCGCGCGACGGGAAGACCTAATCCTTGCAAAGTTAGCCACTTTGGCCACACAGTAGTCGACCCCTAATTCTCTGACTAACAAAATATTTTCCAGTCTTAGGTCCCAATGAGTGAAACCCATGTCATGGATGTGTTTGACTCCGCGGACTATGTCTTTGCAAATGGTGTGCATCCGTTGATAAGACACTGTCTCGTCGTTAGCCATTAGATAGGAAAGTAGGTCCGTCTCCGGGAACTCCATGAACACAAACCTGCAGCCATAGAGTCGGAGTCTCTTGTCCACTGACACGACATTCCTGTGCGACAAATGGCGAGCCGTTTGGATCTCTTGGCGCGCTTCAGAAGAGCGACAGAATTTGATGGCAACGGACTTGAAGACAGTCTTCGAGGACCCCTTCGAAAACTCCCTCGACATGACTACTGCAGACACCACTTGACCGAAGTGTCCGAACTCTGGCGGCCGACCCAATAGAACGACTCCATTGGCCGACAACAGAGGCAGCGATTCAGTGATCATGTGCTCGAAGTTGTCGTCAAAGTCTGCGGTTGTCTTCAATCGAGTGATCAGTTTATGTGCACTCAGTTCAAGATATATATCCCACAAGAGAGGTCTCAAGAGGTGTCTCTCGAAGAGATAACGTGTCGGGTCTTCAGTGAACCGATTTTTGTGTCGGCGACGAACTCTCTGCTCCTCCCGAGGAGTCACCACTTTGTTTGGATCACTCTTTTTGGGTGAGGCATTGAGAGACGAGTCGGAGACATGTGTTTGTATGTCATCTGTCGGTGCGATGCCTTCAGACCTCTCAATGGTTTCGATGGCTTTCATCTCCTCTTCGGGAGACGGCGGCGGACACGGAGTGACTGCAAGGACTGCACCCGACTCTGGACTCATTGAGAGGACGACCTTCTGATTGGTGGTGTCGTTGAGTCCACTCATCTCAAGCGCTGTTATCGAGTGGTNCACGGAGTGACTGCAAGGACTGCACCCGACTCTGGACTCATTGAGAGGACGACCTTCTGATTGGTGGTGTCGTTGAGTCCACTCATCTCAAGCGCTGTTATCGAGTGGTCGGACATCTCTACTGTGGTCTCAGGTGTTGTTGTGGTCTGTGGTCTCTTACTGTCCTCAGAGTCTATGCGTCTGTTCGGTCGACACAAGTTTCGGATCTTTTTGGGGATCCGTTTAATTGGTTTCCAAACGCTGGTTAAGACCGGCTTAACCCAAACCCAACACCCGTTCCGACAGCAGCGGTCGTCGTCATCTGAATTGGTGTCCGAATGGGTGACCACTCCATGAGTGCCAGTAGATACGGATCCGTTGAGGCCCTGGTTAGCCAACCCTAACGGTCGCCCCATTATTGACGAGGAGTCAGATTGACCAGTGGTTCCAGTGATTGGACTGGTATTTAGGGTCATCGGTAACACCACCGATGGTCTGGTGGTGACCTCTCCTACCCCTTCCACCCCCTGGCCGAGCAGGGCTTCCGGGGGCGACTCACGTGACTCTGGAGGCGGGGCGCACACCATATGAGCACATGAGTCGACTTTCGGCGATGTCTTGGATGTCATTTGTGGTGATATTCAGAGATAACTGGAAGAAGATTTGGAAATCGTGTCAAAAGAGTTAGATTTCGCGCCCCAAAGAAAATCTGCGAAAATATCGCAAATATTGTTAAAAAAAAGTTTTCAAAACTTTTAGAATTCATTTCAAACACAAATGTATTATTGAATGAATGAATTGAATACTATATTGAATGCATTTATTCAACTGTAGTGGACAGGGATCTGGTTTTGAAACATATTGTCATTCATGTGGCGATGGATAACATGGTTGTCATCGATGAGATCAGTTAGTGTTTGGCATACCTTCTCACTCGCGTCCATACAATTAACTTGAAATTGATTTTTATGAACAGAAAACTCTTGTAAACCCCAACAGAACGGAACCGACGATTCAGATAATGAAGCGAATGACAAGAAATTGTGGAAACCATTGGTTTTATTTATTCCTCTGCGGTTGGGTTTGTCTGAAATAAATGCCATCTATTTTAAGTCACTTAAGACGACGTTCGGAACGAAGCAATCGTTGGGTATAATCGGCGGTCGACCCAATCATGCCTTATATTTGATCGGATGTGTGGCCAACGGTTCTACCCCAAAAGGCCTAAAACCGAAAAGGCCTAAACTCAAATAACTAACTGACCAGTGGACATAGATTTAATTAGATTAGTGGAATAGACGTGTCTTGACCCAACCTAACCTAGCCTAACTTAANTGACCAGTGGACATAGATTTAATTAGATTAGTGGAATAGACGTGTCTTGACCCAACCTAACCTAGCCTAACTTAAATTAAGCCAAATGACCATTGGTCAGTTAGTTATTCAAGTTTAGGCCTTTTGGGTTTTAGGCCTTTTGGGTTTTAGGCCTTTTGGGTTTTAGGCCTTTTGGGTTTTAGGCCTTTTGGGTTTTAGGCCTTTTGGGTTTTAGGCCTTTTGGGTTTTAGGCCTTTTGGGTGAGTCCCGTGGCCAACGAACTGGTCTTCTTAGATATTATCTATATTAGAGTCTTATAATTGGATATTTTTGACAAATTGTCAAATTATTGTTAATTGAATTAATAACAGATTTCTGGAGATAAAAGGATTGTTTGGTAAATGCCTTGAAATAACTTATTGTTTAAGTTCTCGCGCTATAATAAGTAAATTAAATACTATTTAAATCATTTGAATTCAACTCACAAATCATAACTGCTTTAATAACTGATAACATAACTGATTCTGAACTTCACTTAATCTTCAGATGAACTCAATGGCGACAAACACTGAAGAGAATACTCCGGTCTTAACCAGAGTTTGGAAACCAATTAAACGGATCCCCAAAAAGATCCGAAACTTGTGTCGACCGAACAGACGCATAGACTCTGAGGACGACATGAGACCACAGATGACATCAACACCTGAGCCCATAGTCGGCAGCTCTGAGGAGCAGATGTCGGGCCACGAAACCCAAGAGCAGCGGGAAGTGTCTGCAAGTGTTGATACCATCAGAAAGCGATTCCACGAATCGAGTCAACACTTGGATCAAACACTCAAAGACACTGTGGAGGAAGTGGTGGATCAGGCGTTCAACAATAGCCAGGCCTTCGATATCGTGTCGTCTCTGATCGAGGAGGGGATGGATAGGCGTCGGGGCCCGACCTGGCATTGTGTCGTCGGTCAGGCATTTGGCGCCACATATTCGCCAACGAAAGACACAAACGTCCGCTACTTTTACGGCTCCGTCACTGTTGTCATCTTCAGGGCCGCGAAGAAGAGAGTTTTGTCGTCATCCGTCTCGTCGAGTAGTTCTAGTTTATCGAGTCTGCGCTCCACTTCTTCATCCTCTTCAGCGACCAGTTCTTCCTCACTGTCGTCTCTAATGTTGGAGGCCTTCTTCAAGCAAGAGGTGGTGACCATTGATGGCGAGGAATACAACGCGGAGTTGACTGAAGAGGAAGTGGAAGGATGGCGCAAGTCGTGGGAGATCACAGACCACTGGGTGTTGCGC